TGAGATCAGCTGGGTGGTCTGGTACCCAGAAGATGCTCAGTGAATAGTCCCTCTCCTCAGTGTGATGGAGGAGGTTAAAAGTAGGGATTTTAAACTCCTCTGAAGAACCTTCTTCAGTGACTATCCAACCTAAGTATAATCAATTCAAATCTGGACTGTCAGGTATGTTAAAAAACCACATTCAAGGTTGTCCTCTGGCTTCCACACACATGCACTCATGTACTCATGTATACCTATACATACATTAGTATAATTTTTGGAGTGTTGTGGGGTTTTTTGTTTTTCAAGATAGGGTTTTTCTGGGTAGCCCTGGTTGTCCTGCCACTGGCTGTATAGATGCGACTGACCTTGAACTCACATAGATCTGCCTGCCTCTGCCTCTCAAGTGCCAGGTTTAAAGGCCTGGAACACTACTGCCTGGCTATATTTGTGTGTGTGCATACGTGTGTGTGTGTGTGTGTGTGTGTGTGTGTGTTTTAAATTCCCCCAACTAGAAGTCTTACGTATGTAGTCAAAGGAATCATTGGGGACTAAGTAGGTCAGGTAGGTCCTGTCTCCCCTTCTTCCTCTCTCAGTACTCCATTACTGAGTTCTCCACTTGTTCCTCTGACTGCATTTCTGTCCCTCCACTGAACAGCTCCTCTGTTCTGTAGTCTCCTTACAAGTAGCCCTGTAGCCTACCTGACCTCTCAGTGATTCCTTCCACAACTGACTCAGCTTGTGTCTCTCGGTTCTCCATGTTATACCCAAGAAGAAAACTTCTGAGTGGTTCATCTAGGCCAGGTGTTCACAATAGGTTCTAACTAGGGGTGGAGGGGTAGAGTCACCTGAGAGCTAAATCTGTCTCAGCAGGCAGAGCAGACTCCATGAAAGGGGTGCAGATGAGGCTGCTGGGGGTGGGGGGGCAGTCTAAGTATACTTACCACTTCATTAGCACATTCAGAGGAAAGTTAGGCTACACCTGGATGCAGGAAATGTAATCTTTCAGTTTTGTTTATCCAGTTTCTTCTCTGTAAAATTAATGGAAGGGCAGTGGAGGCAGCATTGGAGCAGTTTGTGATGCTGGCTGGTCTGGGGCTAGTTACTTTGGAGCTGTTTAGGAAGTGGATTATGAGGGAATATCTGGGGCTGGCAACTTGTTGAAGCAGTTTTTAGTTGATTTGAGGCTCATGGTCTTCGTACTTGGGGACGGGGAGTCCCAAGACCAGGGAAATCAGACGAGGACCAGGGAGAGGGGGAGAGATCTCACACTCAGGAGTGGGCAGAAGGGGAATTCAAGATGTCGGGGAACAAGGCTTACACAATAAAGAATAGTGTACCTGAGAATTTGCTCACTGAGAACAACCAGATCTTGGGGTTCAGAATTTAGGATTCGTATACTCAGCACCAGACCAACCCCCAACAAGTGAGTTGCCAGTGAAGTGTGGAGGGGTTTGGAATACTGGCTGTGTATTCTGACTGTGAGTGATGGAAAGGGGTGAGTGGTGGGGAGAGTGACCAGTGTGCATTTAGGCTGGTCAGTCAACATCATCAGAGATCTGAGGATGGATTGTATTAGGAGTTATAAATGAAATGACATCTGTATCAGTTAAAATAGCAGAGATTTTTCATTACCTAGACAATAGACCTAGGCTCCTGGGGTCTTGATGGCTGGGCAGTAGTGGTAGGCCTTCAGCTGCCATACAGGGCAGTGGCCTTGGGCTGTCAGATCCACACCTGAGATTTTTCTTTTAAACTTGGGAAAATTGACATCACTTCGATTAGGCAAAACAGGACAATTAACCCAAAAGTGTTTGCAATTGGAGCAGAGTCCTGACAGCCTGTGAGACCTGGGCAACTTGTCCAGTGGTTAGTGTTACCACAATCCAGGTGGAGTCACTCTCATCATTGTGCCCTATCTGTCATCTTTGGAGACCACAGGGCTTGTGTTAGGCATGGATATGTCTGAAAGAACATGTCTTATAGTCACAAGAACGTTAGGGCACATTCTGAGGTAGGCAGTAAGTGGGTCCTAAGCAGGCTAAAGATGGATCAAGATAAAATGTCTTAGGATCTGTGGCATTTCTGCATTCACATCTCTGAGCATCTACTCAGCCAATTAGCTTTTGTGGGGCGCACATCTTTCTGGCCCAGGTGCTGCCTGTGTCTTTGATTTGATGTGTCTGTTCTGCAACTTCAGGTAGATGCTATGTGGTATCTATTTACATGACAATGTCCCTCCCTCAAATGGTTAACATAAATTGACTGATAAGTAAACAAGAGAATATGCAAATTTAGTTCAAATTGCTTTTAATTCATGAAATACAAACAAATCGAACATACTGGATTATTTTAAATTTGTGAAGCAAAAGGAAATGTCAGCATTATACAAACAATGTATTCATCTGAAGTATCTAACTTTTGATGTTATGGAACAAAGTGATCTCCTAGTTCATGCTTAAGGACCACACAATCCGGTTCCCAAACTATATTTGTAAAAGTGTCTCCTAATATTTTAAGGAAGCTGAATTTAATTTAGCTATATTCATATGTATCCTTGGCTGTAAGCTGGTCATTCATGAAGATATGTAAGACTAAAACCACTATGTGTTCTTCGAGTCTGGTATAATTGACATTCTGAGTTTTCAATAACCATCACTAAAGGCCTAAAGCAATGATGACCAAGGGCTGGCTGACAGCCAGGATTTTCACCTTCACCTGCAGGTTGGCCATGTCCCATCATAGAGGACAGTGGGATAGCTCTAAAAGGATATGACAGCTTCAGGGAGGATGTGGAGACCCCAGAGGTTGAGCTTTGGGTCATTTCATAGAAAAATACCTTTGTCCAGAAGATGACAAGTGTACAAAAGTGGAGGCTGTGACCATTGCAAGGTTAGGTGGCCTCTTTAGGGGTCCAGGTGAGGGTGAGATAAATCTTCAGATATGACTCTCTGATATGGCTTTGATATGCACCTGTGCTCACTGCTTCCAACTTATTTTGATAAGTATATAGGTGACATATTTTTACTTTTGAGATTGAGTTAATTATCAGCTTCTGCATCTTGGATATTCTTGAGCTGACATGTGTCTGTGTGTAAACTGAGGTGTCATGTCCTCCAATGTCTGCATTGCACTCAGAAGGGAGCCAATAGCTGATTGTAAAATGGAGTCACCCAGGGCAAGCCAGTGTTTTGCACAGTGATGACTACTTTAGGCTAGGCCCAGCTTGATCCCCTCAATGCCATCAAGAGGGAGAAAAGAACAGGATCAGAACAAGAGAAAGTCCCAAAAGCAACAGCCTAGTGCCCTCTGATGCCGTGGTGAGTGGAACTCTGTCGGCCTTCAGTCTCCTGGGTTCCCACCTGTCTGGTCCAAAGTCAACAGCACAGATTTCAGAGATGCCATCAGAAATACGTATGTTTGAGTCCTTTGCTAAAGAAACCACAGGCAGTGTTGAAGTGTCACCCGACACAGTTGTTGTTGAGGACTGTAGATCAGACTACAGAGGAAGAGGAGCAGCAGGGAGCACCTGTGACAAAAAACGGTGTAGATTACACTGGGTTCCTGGGCATCAGCTACAGCACCCACTCTACTTCCTTTCTCAGACACTCCCCCACATCACAGACCAGGGAACTTAGCTGCCCAATCCTTTTCTCTTTCATTTTCCCTTCTAAATCTTTCTGCCACTCTAAGCTCTGGTATGCTAAAACTTCAGATGTTTCTGGAGTTTTAAGAGTACTGAAACAACAATTGTGAGTAAAAATTTAAAAATGATTCAGGAAACATGAAAAATCAGCAAATATGAAAGGCTAGAAAAATATACCCATGTTTCTGTCTTTGCTGACCGTTTAGCTTTAATTTTTGGTTGTCGGCCAAGGCTTCACTTCATTGCCTAAGGTGGCTTTGAGCTTAGTATATAATCTACAACAGGCTTGAACTCTTCCAGCAGCCCTCCTGCCTTACGGCTCCATATACTGCAATTATAGGTCAAACCAAATATACATGCGGATTTAAGAATTTTATAGACTAAAAGTTATTCCAAAGTGATTATATTGACTGAAATATCTGATGTCACATGATATTAGATGTAAATGCTTCATCAGCCTATGCATATAGCAAATATTTTGAGTTCATATTAAAATAGTTAGAATGTTGGCTTTTTCATCATGAGTCTGTATTTTGACTCTAGACAGTATTTGGCAAATCTAACAATTACAGCATTGAGCACTTGGCTGACTTTATCGGCATAAACACAGGTGACTTCAACTTCAGAGCTTACTTCCACCTGAATTGTGGCTCAGTGGAGTTAAATGAATGGATTTTGTTTTCTTTGTTCTTTTGACAAGATGTGACTATGAACCCAGGCTGGCCTTGAACTTGCTGGTCCTTCTACCTTGGCCTCCAGAGTGCTAGAATTACAGGTTGGTCACACAATACCAACTCCTTAAATAGTCTGCTTATTCTGATCATTTTGTATTAAGGGCTGTACCTTAATAAGCTGGGTGCTACTAATGTACAGACTTAATCCTAGGTATAAGAATTATTGTGTTGGATCATGTCATCCCCCGAAAGAAAACAGAATTTAATTACAGTCTTGGGGAACCTTTTTTTTTTTTTGATTATGAGGAAGGAACACCTCATTTCAGTTTTTCTTATTCTTATTTGAATCCTTGGTCCTTGGATTTTCTGTCCCCTCAGGAGGACTTTCCTGTTTCATCCTTTCTCTGACTGCAAAGTTATGGTGACTGTACTAGCCTCCAGTGGGCAACAATTTCTATCTCCAACATTACTGTGGAGTGGTGGCTCAAGATTAAGAAGGGCAGGCATCAGTCTCATGGACAGATAGCCACTGCGATGGAGAGTGGCTTTGATAAAGCCATAGGGACACCTCTTCTATGTCATTCCCTAACTAATATGACCAAGAAAAAGAGTGAGGACCTAGCATGTTCTTTACCTTTTATTTTGATCTGCCTCTTGGCCAACAAGATGAACAATGAAATGACTATTAATATCAATAATACCCATAGACTCCAGGTGGCATTTGAATGCTGACTGTCAGCTGTAGGATGAGTGCTATTCATTGTCGGTGAAGTCTCGTTGGCAGATGTAAGCTGGATGATATCCAGAGCCTTTATTGCTGATCCTGTTTAAAAAATTCAGAAAAAAAAATGAGTGAAGATTAAAAACATACCTCCATCAGCAAATTCTCTCTCTTGGAAGTCCAAAGTACTCATGTGTAATAACTATTTTCCAGACTCCGGATAGAAAGATGAAGAGGATGTGTGTGTAAAATGTTCTTACAGAGCTTATTTCGCTATCAAAGAAAGCAAATATATACTGAACCATCAAACATTGTGACATATTTACTCTGGTTAGAACTTTCTGGATGTTGGCATAATTTGGGGTGTTGAATTGTGCCAGAGAAAGACAGTGATGCCTTCAAAAGTGATGTTGGAGCTGGCAGAAGGGCAGCCATAACAGAGAAAGAAAAAACCTGGAAGGTTAGAGTGATGCATTCAGACTGGCAGCCCAGGAGAGTCCATTTCAGGTCATGTCATTGGTTTATAAAGAATGAGAAACACTGATAAAAGACATGGGAAGGAGGAACCCTTGTGATCATCAGGGATCTCCAGAGAGGAACACCACCAAGTAATCACTGGCTAAGTCTATCCGATTTTCCATTATGCACAAACGCTGGCATCCACACAGGAAAGTCTTCAGACATTTCGAGAGAACTGCCATGCCTTTCCCACCCTGTGGACATTTCCTTGTGGTAATATGCTTAATCACTTACTTGGCATTTTCTTCCATACTTGTAAGAATATATTGATATTGCAATTGAAATCTCCCATGGAGAACTTATAGAGCTGTTTTTCTAGTTCAGTATTAGTCTCCAATGCCTTTATGGCACTGCTGGCTTCAGGTTTGGTTACTTTCCATGTCTTCTTTGTTGGATAAAAGTGGGAGGAATATTGTCCATCAATGGTGAAGTCCCAGGAGGGATCATTGAATCTTTCTTGTTTATGTTGATATACCATGGTGCCCTGTAAGATGTGATTACCTGAAAATGACATAACACCGTCATCTTCCTCCCTTTAGTCGTCACCCTGTGAAACTTGAAATCTTCCTCCACACACTTAGAGACCTGTTTTCTTTCCTCCCTGGCTTGCCATTTCTTTTTTTTTTTAAATTTTTTTATTGGATGTTTTATTTACATTTCCTATGTTGTCCCCTTACCCAATCCCCCACCCACCCAGGAACCCCCTAGCCCCTCACCCCTCCTCCCTCTTCTCTGTGGATGTAACCTCTATCTACACCCCCCCACTCCCACCTCCCCACCCTCAAAATTCCCACCCCCTGGGGCGTCCAGCCTTCATGAGGTCAAGGTTCTCTTCTTCCACCTATGCCCAGCAGGGCCCTCCACTCTTACATATTCAGCTAAAGCCCTGGATCCCTCCCTAAGTGCTCCCAGACTGGTGGTTTAGACCCTGGGAGCTGTGGTTGGTTGGTATTGTTGCTCTCCTCATGGTGCCACAAATCCTTTCAGCTCCTTCAGTCTTCACTATAACTCCTCCATTGAGAACCCCATGATCAGTTCAATGGCTAGTTGTGAGCATCTGCCTCTGAGTATGTCAGACTCTTGAAGACCTCTGAGGAGATATCCATATCAGGCTCTTATCAGCATGCACTTCCTGACTTCCATATCAGCATCTACCTTTGGTGACTGCACATGGGATAGATACTCAGGTGGAGTGGTCTTGAAACGGCCCCTCCTTCAGTTTCTGTCCCTCACTTTGTCTCCATATTTGCTCCCTTGAGTATTTTGTTGCTCCTTCTAAGAAGGAACGAATCACCCCCACTTGGTCTTCCTTCTTTATGAGCTTCATGTGGCCTGTGAGTTACATCTTGGGCATTTCAAGGTTCTGGGCTAATATCCAATAATCAGTGAATGAATACCATGTGTGTTCTTTTGTGATTGGCTTACCTCACTTAGGATGATAATTTCTAGTTCCATCCATTTACCTAGGAACCTCTCAAATTCATTGTTTTTAATAGCTGAGTAATACTCCATGGTGTAAATATACCACATTTTTTGAATCCATTCCTCAGTTGAAGGACATCTGGGTTCTTTCCAGCTCCTGGCTATTATAAATAAGGCTGCTATGAACATAGTCGAGCATATGTCCTTGTTATATGTTCGAGCATCTTCTGGGTATATGCCTAGGAGTGGTACAGCTGGATCCTCGGGTAATGCTATGTCCAATTTTCTGAGGAACCGCCACACTGATTTCCAAAGTGGTTGCACCATCTTTCAGTCCCACCAACAATGGAGGAGTGTTCCTCTTTCTCCACACCCTCGCCAGCATCTACTATCACCTGAGTTTTTAATCTTAGCCATTCTGACTGGTGTGAGATGGAATCTCAGGGTTGTTTTGATTTGCATTTCCCTGACGAATACGGATGCTGAACATTACTTTAGGTGCTTCTCGGCCATTCGAGTTTCTTCCGTTGAAAATTCTTTGTTAAGCTCTATACCCCATTTTTTAATAGGGTAATTTGGTTGTCTGGAGTCTAATTTCTTGAGTTCTTTGTATATATTGGATATTAGCCCTCTATCAGATGAAGGATTGGTAAAGATCTTTTCCCAATTTGTTGGTTGTTGTTTTGTCCTATTGACAGTGTCCTTTGCCTTACAGAAACTTTGCAATTTTATGAAGTCCCATTTGTCAATTCTTGATCTTAGAGCATATGCCATTGGAGTTCTGTTCAGGAACTTTTCTCCTGTGCCCAAGTATTCGAGGATCTTCCCCACCTTCTCTTCTATTAGTTTCAATGTATCTGGTTTTATGTGGAGGTCCTTTATCCACATAGACTTGACCTTTGTACAAGGGGATAAGAATGGATCAATTTTCATTCTTCTACATGTTGTCCTCCAGTTGAACCAGCACCATTTGTTGAAAATGCTGTCCTTTTTCCACTGGACAGTTTTAGCTCCTTTGTCAAAGATCAAGTGACCATAGGAGTGTGGGTTCATTTCTGGGTCTTCAATTCTATTCCATTGATCTTCCTGCCTGTCTCTGTACCAATACCAGGTAGTTTTTAATCGCTCTGTAGTACAGCTTGAGGTCAGGGATGGTGATTCCTCCAGAAGTTCTTTTATTGTTGAGAATAGTTTTCGCTATCCTGGGTTTTTTGTTATTCCATATGAATTTGAGAATTTCCTTTTCTAACTCTGTGAAGAATTGAGTTGGGATTTTAATGAGGATTGCATTGAATCTGTAGATTGCTTTTGGCAAGATGGCCATTTTTATTATATTAATCCTGCCAATCCATGAGCATGGGAGACCTTTCCATCTTCTGAGATCTTCTTCGATTTCTTTCTTCAGAGACTTGAAGTTCTTGTCATACAGGTCTTTCACTTGCTTGGTTAGATTCACACAAAGGTATTTTATATTATTTGCAACTATTGTGAAGGGTGTCATTTCCCTAATTTCTTTTTCAGTCTGTTTATCTTTCATGTAGAGGAAGGCTACTGATTTGTTTGAGTTGATTTTATAACCAGCCACTTTGCTGAAGTTGTTTATCAGGTTTAGGAGTTCTCTGGTGGAAGTTTTGGGGTCACTTAAGTATACTATCATATCATCTGCAAATAGCGAAAATTTGACTTCTTCCTTTCCAATTTGTATCCCTTTGACCTCCTTTTGTTGTCTAATTGCTCTGGCTAGGACTTCCAGTACTATATTGAATAGGTAGGGAGAGAGTGGGCAGCCTTGTCTAGCCCTGATTTTAGTGGGATTGCTTCAAGTTTCTCTCCATTTAGCTTGATGTTGGCTACTGGTTTGCTGTATGTTGCTTTTACTATGTTTAGGTAGGGGCCTTGAATTCCTGGTCTTTCCAAGAGTTGTATCATGAAGTGGTGTTCAATTTTGTCAAATGCCTTCTCAGCATCTAGTGATATGATCATGTGGGTTTTTTTTTTTTTAGTTTGTTTATATAGTGGATTACATTGATGGATTTCCGAATATTGAACCAACCGTGCATTCCTGGTATAATGCCTACTTGATCATGATGGATAATTGTTTTGATCTGTTCTTGGATTCGGTTTGTGAGTTTTATTGAGCATTTTTGCATCGATATTCATAAGGTAGATTGATGTCAAGTTCTCTTTCTTTGTTGGGTCTTTGTGTGGTTTAGGTATGAGCATGATTGTGGCTTCATAGAATGAATTGGGTAGTGTTCCTTCTGTTTCTATTTTGTGTAACAGTTTATAGAAAATTGGTATTAAATCTTCTTTGAAGGTCTGATAGAACTATGCACTAAAACCATCTGGTCCCAGACTTTTTTTGGTGGGGAGATTTTTAACGACTGCTTCTGTTTCTTTAGGGGTTATGGGACTGTTTATATGGTTTATCTGCTCCTGATTTAACATTGATAACTGGTATTTGTCTAGAAAATTGTCGATTTCATCCAGATTTTCCAATTTTGTTTAGTGTAGGCTTTTGTAGTAGGATCTGATGTTTTTTGAATTTCCTCAGTTTCTGTTGTTATGTCACCTTTTCAGTTCTGATTTTATTAATTTGCATACTGTCTCTCTGCCCTCTGATTAGTCTGGCTAAGGATTTATCTATCTTGTTGATTTTCTCAAAGAACCAGCTCCTGGTTTTATTAATTCTTTGTATAGTTCTTTTTGTTTCTATTTGGTTGATTTCAGCCCTGAGTTTGATTATTTCCTGCCATCTACTCCTCTTGGGTGTATTAGCTTCTTTTTGTTCTAGGGCTTTCAGGTTTGTTGTCAAGCTGCTAGTGTATGCTCCTTCCAGTTTCTTTTTGTAGGCATTTAGAGCTATGAATTTTCCTCTTAGCACCGCTTTCATTGTGTCCCATAAATTTTGGTGTGATGTGTCTTCATTTTCATTAAATTCTAAAAAGTCTTTAATTTCTTTCTTTATTTCTTCCCTGACCATATTATCATTGAGTGGAGTGTTGTTCAGTTTCCACATGAATGTGGGCTTTCCATTGTTTTTGTCGTTATTGAAGACAAGCCTTAGTCTATGGTGATATGATAGGATGCATGGGATTATTTCAATTTTTTTGTATCTGTTGAGGCCTGTTTTGTGAACAATTATGTGGTCTATTTTGGAAAAGGTACCATGAAGTTCTGAGAAAAAGATATATTCTTTTGTTTTGGGTGAAATGTTCTATAGATATCTGTTAAATCCATTTGGTTCATAACTTCTTTAGTTGCACTGTATCTCTGTCTCATTTCTGTTCCCATGATCTGTCTATTGCTGAGAGTGGGGTGTTGAAGTCTCCCACTATTATTGTGTGAGGTGCAATGTGTGCTTTGAGCTTTAGTAAAGTTTCTTTTATGAAAGTGGGTGATCTTGCATTTGGTGCATAGATGTTCAGAATTGAGAGTTCATGTTGGTTGACTTTTCCTTTGACAAATATGAAATGTTCTTCCATATCCTTTTTGATAGCTTTAAGTTGAAAGTCAAATTTATTCAATATTAGAATGGCTACTCCAGCTTATTTCTTAGAATCATTTACTTGAAAAATTGTTTTCCAGCCTTTTACTCTGAGGAAGTGTCTGTCTTTGTCACTGAGGTAGATTTCCTGTATGCAACAAAATGGTGGGTCCTGTTTATGTATCCAGTCCATTAGTCTATGTCTTTTTTATTGGGGAATTGAGTCCTTTGATGTTAAGAGATATTAAGGATAGGGGATTGTTACTTCCTGTTATTTTTGTTATTAGTGGTGGGGTTGTTTGTGAGGCTATCTTATTTTGGATTTGTTGGAAGAGGATTACCTTCTTGTTCTTTCTAGGATATATTTTTCCTCCTTGTATTGGAGCTTTCTCGCTATTATCCTTTGTAGTGCTGGGTTTGTGGAAAGATATTGTGTAAATTTGGTTTTGTGGTAGAATATCTTGGTTTCTCCATCTATGGTAATTGAGAGTTTTGCTGGGTATAATAGCCTGAGATGGCATTCATATTCTTTTAGGGTCTGTATGACATCTGTCCAGGATCTTCTCACTTTTATAGTATCTGGTGAGAAGTCTGGTGTAATGCTGATAGGTCTGCCTTTATATATTACTTGGCCTTTTTCCCTTACTGCTTTTAATATTCTTTCTTTGTTTTGTGCATTTGGTGTTTTGATTATTATGTGACGGGAAATATTTTCTCGTCTAGTCTATTTGGCGTTCTGTAGGCTTCTTGTATGTTTATGGGCACCTCACCCTTTAGGTTAGGGAAGTTTTCCTCTATGATTTTGTTGAAGATATTTATTGACCCTTTAAGTTGAGAACCTTCACTCTCTTCTTTACCTATTATCCTTTGGTTTGGTCTTCTCATTGTGTCCTGGATTTCCTGGATGTTTTTTGTTAAGAGTTTTTTGCATTTTGTGTTTTATTTTTTTTGACAGTGGTGTCAATATTATCTATGGTATCTTCTACACCTGAGATTCTCTCTTCTATCTCTTGTATTCTGTTGGTGATGCTTCTGTCTATGACTCCTGATTTCTTTCCTAGGTTTTCTATCTCCAGGGTAATCTCCCTTTGTGATTTCTTTATTGTTTCTACTTCCATTTTTATGTCCCGGATGGTTTTGTTCAATTCCTTCACCTGGTTGGTTGTGCTCTCTTGTAATTCTTTAAGGGATTTTTGTGTTTCCTCTTTAAGGTCTTCTACCTGTTTACCTGTGTTCTCCTCAATTTCTTTGAGAGTGTTATTTATGTCCTTCTTAAAGTCTTCTATCATCATCATTAGAAGTAATATTAAATCTGAATCTTGCTTTCCTGGTGATATGGGAAATTCAGGACTTTCTGATGTGGGAGAACTAGGCTCTGATGATGCCAAGTACCCTTGGTTGCTGATGCTTATGTTCTTGCGCTTACCTTTTGCCATCTGGATCTCCTTAGTGCTCCCTGTGCTGTTTCTGACTGGAACCTGTCTTTCCTATTATCTTGGTTGTATCATAACTGTTTGGGGTGAGTGTTACTACTAGGATCAGAGCTGAGGCCCAAGTGCTCAGTATTCAGGCTGTGGACCAGAAGGAACCAGTGCTCTGGGCCAAGAGTGAATTCCTGGGTCCCAGTGGGTCCCAATTACTCCCTGTTTGGGGGCGGGTGTTGCTGTCTCCTTACCTAAGATGCTGCAATGTTTAGAGCTTCTGGGAGCCCCACTTCCTCTGGGTTTTGTGAGATTGGGTGCAGAGCTACTTCCTGGGATCTGCTCAGTGCTTGGGTGCAGACTGAAGGGAACCATTGCTCTGGGCCAGAAATGAATTCCTGGGTCCCAGTGGATCCCAGTTACTCCCTGTTTAGCGCCAGTGTTGCTGTCTCCTTACCTTAAATACTGCCTGGGTTAGAGCTCCTGGGAGTCCCTCTGGGAGCTGCTCAGTGCTCAGGAACAGCCCTGAAGGAGTTCTTCCTATTTCTTGTCGATAGCCCTGTCTTTATTTCCTGTCCCAGTCTTACCTCTGGTCTTGACTGGCCCTGGTTCCATGTTAAGTAGATGATTCTTGAACTCTTCTCCAATGTCTTTTATGCTTTTTGTCAGCCCTTCCCATGCTTTGGTGGCATTTACCTCCTTTCCCAGGTTGCCCAAAGGCTTTGCCTCCTTATCACTATACTGAAGGAAGGGTATTCCATTCACTGAACACTGTCCTTCATACCAGTGTGAAGAACGATCTTTGACAGTGAAGTTGAACCAGATAGAGTATGTATCTGTGAGAAAAACAGGTAGGTGAGTTCCAAATAGGGAGAAGAAGGCCATAGGATTCATGTTCTGTCAAGTTAGCACTTTCAGAATACACTGGTCGGGACAACTAGATCCTTAGCCTTGGGTTACCTTACTGTTATATTCTGGCAAGATCCTCTGACAATACCCTTGACCCTTCAGATGCACACAATGTTACCAGGGGGACCTACCTAACAAACAGTTGAAGTGACCTTTTCTAAGTATGAAGGTAGAAAATACACAAGATTTTCTACTCTGGCTGATGAAAGAACATCTTTTATAGAAGGGAAGATATCTCAAAGATGCATGGCAAATTTGTCTTGTGTCCTAAGTGTTCAGGAGATGTTTCCTGAAGAAAAGCTGAAAATTGACACATACGGGAAGCTGCTAGCTATGGTCATATTACCTAGTGCCAATCTTGGTGCTCTAAACCTGGGCACTGGATGTTTAGGTTTCTCTCTAGTTAAATCACAACTTTAAGAGATATACATTTGTCTGTGTAGCACAAAATGTAGTAGAATTATATATCCTCTGCCATTGTTTGTTGGAAGTATGTGATTTGCTTATTTATTTTTATTTTACACAGAATTACAGTTAAAAGATTGCATGAATCTCAGAGGAGAATTTGAACTTTGCACTTTTCAACAAGTTTGAGAGTGCTAGAGACTATGGGGACTTTTGAAGTTGGACTGAATCTGTTTCCACAGTATGATATGAGTAAAAAGCCTTTGGCCAGGGAGTGGAATGTAGTGGTTTAAAAGAAAATGACCCCCATAGGCTCACAGGGAGTGGCACTATTAGGAAGTGTGGCCTTGTTGGAGAAAATGTCTTTCATTCTCTCCCTGCTGCCTGCCGATCTGGATATCGAACTCTCAGCTCCCTTTTTAGAGCCCTATTTGCTGCATGCAGCCATGCTCCCAGCTATGAGGATATTGGACCAAACCTCTGAACCATAAGGCATCCCAACTTAAATGTTTTCCTTTATAAGAGTTGCTATGTTCATGTTGTCACAGCAATAAAACTCTAAGACAGGCTGTAATCTGCACACTGCCATCTTCCCTGCACATGTAAGAAGATGTGCCAGTCCTTACATCTCAGCACACTTATCGTCTGTGGTCTTTCAGCAGCAAAAGAAGACATGCAGTACAATGTGAAGGGGACAGTTACACTAAGCAGAGTTGAGAAGAGTGACAAACGATAGCAAAGTGCATCCGAACACATTCTCCCATGCATGCCTTAGCACTGAGACAAATCTACCACATGCGACTGAGAGCCAGTCTACAAAAGGATCTTGGTAAAGGAACGTTTATCCATAATGCAGCATACTCACTATAAAATAGAAAAGGAGACTTTAGAACATAATCTCTCCAGGCCTCGCCTTCTCCGCTGGAAGTATACAGGCTCAACCACCTTCCTCTCTGCTTCTCCCCACTGTCTCCTCTACCATTTTTAATTCTCATCTTCACACTTTCTTCCAAATCCTACACCTAAACTTTTGAAGTCTGATTGCCTGAGGTTCTTTCTCACTTCATTAAAAAGTCTGATGGACATAGAGACAAACCCTCTGTAGCCCCAGAAGTCTCATTTTGGTTGTGAACAAAAAGCCAACAAGTCCCCCACATTAAAGTGGATAAAAGGAGCACAAATTTTCTCTAAGAAAAACTGGATTTAGGAGCTGGGTCAATGGATGGACTGCACATGGCTGAAGAAGGAGCAGTGAACCATGAAGACGGTCCAACTAAAGCAACACTGGCAGCTTCAGGCTACCTGTCCTTGGAGGAAGATGGAAGCAAAGCACAGTGACTGGGGGAAACTCTCCAGTGCACTGGAAAGGGGATTTGTCTCTATAGATGACATCAGGTTCCACCAAGAAGAGAGAACCCAGTGCTGAGGATGCTCACGGAGAAAGGGAAGAACAGAGATCTGAAGGGAACAGCCTAACAGTACAAACTCCATTTTGTATTTACACTCCATCCTATGTTAAATTTGTCCTCAGGCCAAACTCAGTTACTGGAAAAATCACAGCATATTCTAGGAATCAAGACACACATAGCAACAGCCATACTTTGCTAACAAAAGCCACCTCACCCATAGTAAGAGCTACTCACCTCCCAATATTCCAGACGTTTTGAAGTAGATTACTCAAGTTAACAAAATAACGTGCTGAAATCATTGCTAGCCAATAGAAATGCTCCAAGCTATGATTTTCAAATGATAACGAATCACGTAGCTGCTAAGTTGGAAAGCACCTATCCTATTGTATCTGTAATTAAAAGGCAAGGCTTCATCAGCTCAGGACCTTCCACACCCAAAGACTGCATTGGAGAGATTGGAGGGCACAAGCTGGAGCTTGAATAATGAGTTGGATTCCTGGTGGACTCTGGTGTTCAGTGGGAACCTTGAAATCTGGGCATAATATTTGGGGGCACCTTTGGGACACCCACCAACCCTCCACCAGCGCGAACCAGTAAAGTCAAAGACCAAATTGGTAAGTATTCTCTGGGTAATGTTTGTCTGAGTGTCTGGCTGTATTAACTGTTGCAAATCTATAAACCTGTGATTTAGCACTGCCACTGGGGACTGTAGCAGATATACTGTCCTCCTCCCCCCCAGTCAGCAGCACCAGGAGACCTCCCAGATCCATTAGTAAGGGATTGGATCCCCTAATTTCTTTAGAGAGACATTTCGGGTTTTGTCTACTTCATCATCATCTCACTTTAGCTTTTGCTACTGTATAGCAATCAGCATTCATATTTCTGTGTTCTTTGGCTGTTTGTTTGCATTGTGTCTGATGTATTTTCTTGTGTTCAAAATTAGAAGTATGGGGCAGTCCCAGAGGCTCCCCTTCCCCCAGCGCTTTTCCTGGCCGGGATTAAGGACTTTATCAATAGGAGTGGAGGGTAGGATGGACGGAGTAACCACTAACCACTATTTGCACATTGGAGTGGCCAGCTTTCCATGTTGGCTGACCACCTGACGGGACCTGGGACCCCCTCATGTCACAGAAAGTCAAGATTGTCATCTATAGTCAGACCAGCCACCAAGAAAAAGTCAACAACACCACCACCTGGCAAAACCTCATATACAGCCCACCTACCTGACTGAAGCACAGCCTAGTGGTTAAGAAGACAAGACAGAGAAATGTAAACCAACTGACCCGCCCTACCGTGTTTCGAAGAATAACAGGGATGTAGATTTCTTATCTCCTCTCCTCCTCTTTAGGAGCGATGGCAGCCTACCTAACATCAACACTGCCACACACCAGGGGACAGGTTGCTAGGAAACAGGCCAGGTCCAAGATACCAGACACCACTGTGATCCTCCTCCGTAGGGCCACGGGGACCCCCATGTGACCAGGGGTACCAACCCTTGCACTAAGGCATTTGTCTACTAGTGAACTGTATAATTGGAAGAACAGAACCCAAAATTTTCAGAGAGGCCAGGGGCCCTTATAGAACTCATGGATTTAGTAACCTTTACTGTCCAACCTGCGTGGGGTGATTATCAGCATCTGATACAGATTCTCTGCATCACAGAAGAGAGGGAAAGAATTATCAGTGAGGCTCAGAAAGTAGTTCCAGGTGAGAATGCGACCCACACTACTAATCAGTTGTTTATTGACAACTCTTTTCCCTTGGCCAGGTCTAACTTGGCTGAATATAAGTTACATGTCTACCCTCAGACTCTAATGGGAGGGGTCTCCTAGCAGTTGCTCACCATCCCAATTTGGCTTGAATAGGTGATGTTAGAAAAGAAGATAGCGAGTGCCCTATAGTCTTTCTAGAGAGAATTATGACAGCATTCCAGATCTTGCTGAACCCATAGTCACAAGAGAACACTTCAGCTGTGATGATGGCTTTCATCAATGTCAGTGCCAGACATAAATCGTAAGGTACACAGAGTTGATAGGATGTAGGAAAGGTCCTTACGGGAGTTGTTAGCTTTCTTGGAGAAACTGCACAATAACCCAGAGCCTTAAAGACAAACCAGCCTGCTCTAATACCCAATGAACATGTAACTTGGCCAAAATCTTGCTGGCAGCCACAGCTGGCACTGAGGAAGAAAATCAACAGCAGATGCTACATCTAGCAGCCAACAAAGTTAAGAGACCACCAACAAGGGACAAGCCCTGAACCAAAAGAAACAACATGCATATTGTAAAGGAAAAAAGCTTTGGATCAATGATTGTCCCAAGCAACCCTGCCTCCCCAAAAAATACCAGAAGAGGGTCAAACAAAAGTGCTGGAATTAGAAGATTTGAGCAATTAGGGGACACAGAATTTAGACCATCTCTCCAAACCTGGGGTAACCATTAGAGTGGAGGGAAAACCCATCCAACTTCTAGTAGACACAGGAGCCCAACATTTGCGCCTCACAGAGGCTCATGGAAAACCAACATGAGTACAGGGGGCCACAGACATCCATCAATATATATGGACTACCCAAACTATAGTGGTGGACCTCAAGATGGGAAGGGTACCCCACATTTTCCTAGCCAAGGCTGAATGCCTCTACTCCCAACTAGGAAGAGACTTGCTAAGAATAATAGGGCCTCAACCCAAACTGACTGAATTTCTGCCTAAAGAGCAGAGCTAATTGCTCAAATACCCTCAACCTGGGCAGGGACAATCAAGTCAATGTTTATACTAATGGCAGATATGCCTTTGCCACTTTGCATATCTGTGGGGCCTTGTATCAGGAGAGGGGGCTGCTTATGGCTGAGGGAAAGAAAACTGAAAACAAACATGACAGTTTAGATTCATTACAAGCCCTCTGACTGCCCCAAAGCTAGAAATTATTCACATCCCCAGCCACCAAGGGGCAGTTATGGTGAAGCTAAGGACAACCAGAGGGCAGACAAGGCAGCAAAGGCCACCCTTAGTCCCAAACCAGTCCTGACCCTTTGGCTGTCAGATCTTTGGCTACCCATTCTACCAGAGAAGCTGAAGTATTCTCAAGAATACATAAAACATATAAAAACTCAGATACCAATGGCCCACAAATCATGAGACTGGTGGATGACGGTGACTATAAGTTAATCCTGTCATATACACTTGCTCAGAAGCTGCTCTGTCCCGTCCACCAGAGCACCCACCTGGGTATGAGGAAAATGGAGGCCCTCTTTTGACATGCAGACCTGAAGATTATTCATCTCAAATCTTTAGTGAGATAAATTGCCTTCAATTACACTGTGTTTGTAGGCCCCAAAGATCAGAAGCAAAGCCTCACCTGAAAGCTGACCAATGCTGACAAGCCCAAAGGAAAAGGCTCCTGACAGTGAGGCTCCAAACCAGGAGTCCATTGGGAATTAGACTCATGAGGCTAAACCAGGCAAATATGGATACAGGCAAGTATTAGTACCTGTAGATACTTTTTCAGGATGGACTGAGGCCTTCCCTGCCACACATGAAATGGCACAAACAGTGGTCAAAAACGTACTGGAAGATATCCTTCCTAGGTATGGTATGCCAGCTATGTTGAGCTCTGACAGTGGACCTGCCTTTGTCTTTAGCAGTTTGTGTTCTCAGTTTAGTCATGATACCCAAAAACCTGTTTTCAGTGTCCCACACATAGGCTAATGAAGCCTGACCTCAGTTGGCTTCGATTGGGAAATAAAGTTGCCAGCAGTCAAGGGCTTTGCAGTGAGACAGAGGCAGGACTTTTAGGATTACTGGGCAAGAAATGCAGGAGAGATAAAAGGGGAGAGTCCAGCATGAGAGAGGCTTAGGATGGACCACATTGTGAAGGAGCAGGAGGGTGAGATGGCCGAAACGTATGTGCAAACACAAAGTGGCCTCATGGGATGGTTGGCCAGATGGAACCAGGGCAGCAAAGGTAATATATAGATTTAGAAAGAACCAACTCAGGAATATTGGAGGGGAGTGTGTTAACAAGGTGGAGGTTTAGGAGTAGCCAAACCATTGAGCTAGCTAAGGCATATTAAAAATAAAGCAATGAGTGTGTGTGTGTGTGTGTGTGTGTGTGTGTGTGTGTGTGTGTGTGTTTCATTCATGAATTCAAAACACTTGGGCAGGTGGATAAAAGCACATACGTGTACCTGCCTGGGAGCATTGAGTGGTTTTAATATTTACCACATCTCTTGCTGCTCAAGTAACATAGGGAATGGCCAAGACCATTGGGGTGGACTGGAAATTACATTGTGCTTATAGGCCTCAAAGTTCAGAACAGGAAGATAGGATGAATAGGACTCTGAAAGAGACACCAGATTAACCATGGAGACTGGCAGGGACAGGCTGGCTTTCCTCCCCTTTTACCCTCTATAGGGTGAGGAACATGCCTCTACACCTTAGGACTGACTTCCTTTGAAGTCATATATAGGAGACCCCCTCCCATGATTCCCAAACTAAAATCAGATGTATTAGCTTATGTGACTAATAGACATATATTTGACTTACTCAGTGCCCTACCTCATACCCAGAAGGGCCGCTGCCACACCTGAGAGTCAGCTCTGAAGTTGTTCCTCCACCTACACTTCATAATTACCTGAAGGCTACTGGATACTAGTGAATGGACATCAGAAACAGAATCTTTAACCCTCGTGGAAAGGGATTTACATAGTTGTGCTGACTACACCCACTGCACTTAAGGTAGACAGAATTACCCCCTGGATTCACAACATCCACAATTGCCTCACTGACCCTTCTTCAGACCCAGAGGACATCACACCCAGATGGCATGTTGTCAAGGACAAAAACTATCCTTTGAAACTCAAATCGCAAAGCTTACAGTTCTAATAGCCTTATTTTAACCAATAGCTGTTCCTCCTCTAACAACCCTCACCAGCCTTATGGCCTAACTTGGATCATCTATAATGCCCCTATAGGTGACATCCTTCAGCAGGTGGACAGGGTGGCCCCACAGTCACCTGGTATCCCAACCTCATCTTCGACTTCCAGGACCTTGTGGCACTTACCTGGTCTAGCACCCACCTAAAGGAACATTATTTTTATGTCTATCCAGGCCATAGAAATAGAGTGGCAATATTAGGAGGTGTGGCCTTGTTGGAGTAGGTCTGTCACTGTGGGTGTGAGCTTTAATACCCTAGTCCTAGCTGCCTGGAAGTCAGTCTTCCACTAGCAGCCTTCAGATGAAGATGTAAAACTCTCAGCTCCTCTTGCACTATGCCTGCCTGGATGCTGCCATGCTCCCACCTTGATGAAAATGACTGACCCTCTGTACCTGTAAGCCAGCCTCACTTAAACGTTGTCCTGATAAGAGTTGCCTTAGTCATGGTGTCTGTTCACAGCAGTAAACCCTAACTAAGGCATGGGCCTAACAAGGTCCAGTGAGGACATCTATATCCTGAAACTACACAGGAAAGACTCACAGCTTAACACCAACTTCAGGTCATCAAACCTGCTTTGGATGTAGGAAAACAACCACAACTCACCAAAGGGACCCAAATCTTTAGAAGACATCAATGACAAAATGGAAGAAAGAAAGAAAATAGATGCTTGTTTTCCCAAAGTGAAGTTCATCAATTTGGAATGTTTAGGATTTCTTCCTGATGACTAATTTATCCTATCTTTGGACAAAGTCTCCATGTGAAAACATCATTAACAGGCTACCCCTGCCAAAAAACCAGGTATACTGCCTGCAGGTCTTCTCTTCTCTGTCTGTTTCCCATATCCAATCCCCCAGGCTCAGCCCAGTTCTTCCAGTAGGGCATCCATGACAGTTCTCCCTGTCCCAGCCCCTAGCTCTCACCTCTGGTTGATCCCACAGGTCTTCCCCTGCTGCCTCCCTCACCCCATTAGTTGCTTATTTCTCACCCCCAACTCCAGCAGTGCCCTGTGACCCTGCTCACCTAAAGATCACTTTTCCCAGGGCAAGAAGTAGGGTGAGGCAAGGGCCAGGGCATGTTATTCCTGGCCTGGTCGTCCCCTGGGCAGCAGGAAGACAGCTGCGGCTGTTCATTACCCTTGCCTGGTCTGCTCCCAGCTACCAAACAAGCCAGTTACTGCTTGCACTGGCTGCAGCCTCTGGCCCAATACCAGGGAGTGCTGTCCATTCAGAGTGGCTCTCTCCTGGCAGTGGCCAAAGAGCGGAGCACTGTTTGGGACAAGGATGGGGTGACTCCCACAGCTGCCACCTCCTAGGATCTACATTACCCACAGCCCTACCTCTGTCTTCTGCCAATCCTTGTGCCCATCTCCTCTGCCTGAACGCTGGCAGCCAGTGAGGGCAGACTGCTGCCACTCCCATCACCCCCGCTCTTCCAATCAGATCTCTGGAACTCACCTTTTATTCCTGAACACAGAGAGATAGTCATCAGGGCCAAGTGGCAGAAAAGGAGCTTGGCAGACACAGCAAGCTCCATAGCTCCTTCTCTAGACCCTGACTGCAAGGGAAGGAAAATCTCGGTCCTGCTGATGGCTCAGACAGCAGAAAGTCCTTGAAACTTGGCTATGAGTTCAAGGCAATTCCTCCTCGGTGATCTTGTCAAAACCGGCTTCTAGTTCCCCTTTCTCCAGGTCTTTTCAGAGAGGGATCTTTTCAGTCCCTGCAGGACAGTCCGAGTTCCCTGAAGATCATGGTGTGGCCCTGCTCTTATCTCAAGTCTCTGAGGTCTGCCCTAGCTTGTGTGCCCTAGCATGTGAAGCTCCTGGAGTGACGTAAGATGAGCAGTGAGGGAAGTTAAGTACAGGAAGTAGCAGGGCCAGGATGTGCACTGTGTGTGTGTGTGGGGGGGGGGGGGAAGGACCGGGGGGGGGGGAGGTGAGCTACAGAGCAGCAGTGGCTCCAGGCTTCTGAGTCCATGTGTGCAGAGTCCTCAGGAGTACACTCTTCAGCCTTAGTCCTGAGTGATTCTCAGCAGCAAACCTGCACAGAGGCAGAGAAAGAGGAAGCAACCCTGGCTGCAATGTGCATGCTTTTGTGGAGTCCCTGCCACACAGGTACCCCAACACCTCTGGTGCCTCCAGCTTCCTCTGCCCACTAGGGATCCTTTCAGCACCTCTCTAGCTGTAGCTATCCATCTCCCCACCCCCACTTCCTGTCGCTTCCATCTGCACCTCTTAAGAATGTCTTTATAAGCCTAAGAAGTTCGGCTCCATCCAGGAAATCAGAGTTGTTGGCTGTCCAGTCTGCAAGCTGGGGTTTTCTTGTCAATTCTGCCACCCCAATGCTCTTGCTTTTTGAGGACAGAGACGTCCACAGGACTTAAAGTGCACCAAGTTTTTTGAGGTAGTGTCTCCTCTTAACTCAGGAGTTCCTGGATTTGGCTAGTCTGGCCAGCTTTAAAATCTGTGGATCTTCCTGTGTCCGGGATTAAAGGCACAAACTATCATTTATGGAGTTTTTGTGGGTTTATGGAGCAGGAAATATAGGTCCTCTTGCTTATAAGGCTGGAGTTTCAAAATGAAAGCAACTTCATAGCTGTTTGTGGCAGGACTTGCCTTCCATCCCAGCTCTTGGGAGGTAGCAGTAGACAGGAGGATCCCTGTTGAGTTAAAGGCCAGGCAGAGTTCAATGGAGAGATAGTGACTCAAAAACAAATATATATGTGTGTGTGTGTGTGTGTGTGTGTGTGTGTGTGTATACATACATATGTACACATACACATTCACAACAGTAAAAATCAGCTTCAGAGAAAATGTTGCCACAGGCAGGCAGGTGTGCAATTTTGCTGACACTAGGTCCTTCTGTTTTCTGTTCCTGTGTGTGTGGTGAAGGGCAGGGCTGAGTGCTCATGGCAGTGGTAGTGCCCACC